TATATATATATTTCATTTGTACCATTATGCACATGTTAATGTACTGATAGTGGTGAGGGAGAGGGCAGGCAATTTGATATTTTGTAGCTTACAGTAGAATGTAAAAATACCCTTAATTTACCTAAAATACACTGAATGGCCAGATTATTATGACCACCTGACGTTTGTAGGCAAATTAGTTATAATTTCATGCTGAAGTTGCTAGAGGGCCAGACCATTATAAATAGGGAAGCAGGTTGTTTACCACGACAGTAGAAGTGATTTTTTTTCTGAAGATATGGGTAAACAATGCAATTTAACAGCCTTTGAACGTGGGATATATATATAGATAGATATACTGAGTGGCCAGATTATTATGACCACCCCATCAGTACTTTATTGGGCCACCTTTTGCTTTCAATACTGCGGCAATTCTTCTTGGCATTGACTCCACAAGATGTTGAAAGGCAATGTGAGGAATCTGATAGCATGCCTGATCAATAGCACTGTCCAGTTCTGTGAGATTTGATGGTTGTGGAACCAGCTGCCTGATGGCTCTTTTAACTTCATCCCACAAATGCTCAATTGGATTAAGATCTGGTGATTGTGGAGGCCACCTAAGCAAGGTAAAGTCTCCCTCATGTTCTTGAAACCACTTCTGCACAATATGAGCACCGTGGCATGGAGCATTGTCTTGTTGGAAGAAGGCACCTCCATTGGGATACACCATCAACATGATAGGATGAGCCTGATTAGTAATGATACTTAGGTGTGTTGTGCTATTCAGACGTTGTTCCACATGAATTAAAGGCCCAAATCATGTCAGGAAAACAAGCCCCAAACCATAACACTGCCCCCACCAGCTTGAAGGGTTGTTCTCATGTATGTGGGGTGCATGCTTTCATGCTGTTTCCACCAAATTCTCACTCTGCCATCTGCATGATGCAACTGGAAACGTGATTCATCGGACCACATGACTTTTTTTCAATGTTCAACTATCCAATCCTTGTTTTCCTGTGTGAATTGGAAATGTTTTATCTTGGTAACTGCAGACAGCAAAGGTTTCGAACAGGCCTTCGGCTTCCATATCCCATACGATGCAGTGTACAGCTACAAACGTCAGGTGGTCATAATAATCTGGCCACTCAGTGTATATTTTAAAATAGATTATGAACAAAATCACAGAAATTCTTTAGTTGTAGCTCAAACCCTACCTCTGCTTCCCAGATGGCTTTACTCATAGACATCTCCTCTACCTTTGAATTTTTGAGTATTTACTGTCTCTATTATTATTTGATAATAATAATAATATACTGTCTTATGCTGGAAATGACCTTCATGGTGTTTTTGTTTCAGTGTCCCTGCTTATACAATGTGATATATTACCTCTGTGTTATCACATGGCTTCATATTTATATCAATTCTTTTTACACATCAAATAGTAATTACTTTATGAATATATAAAATGATTGATTTCCTTCTTTCGACTAAAGTTTTGTCTAAATAAATGAGTCCTGAAGTCCTTTTCCTCTTTAAGTTTCTAAGATATTATAACTTCACAGGAGGACATGTGTAGGTTTTTAAAAATGGTATTTATCCTCATTTCCTAAAGAAGCAGTTAACCTTGAAATTATACTAAATTACACACAAATAAATGAGGAGTTTCACATTTGTTGTCTTATTATATTGAGTGAATAACTTGGGGATAATTTTTGAATTTACTGCTTTCAGTGGAATACTATATTTTGATAATGTTAGTCAGGTTCTGACTCCATAATATCAGTACAATGGGTCTCCCTAATATGACTTCCTCCTCTATCAGTAGTTCCATGACCTGGTAAACCTACTATATCAATTTAGAAATGTTTCACCCAAACAAAAAACATGTTTTACATAGTATCACAAAGAACCTGGGAAAATTAATAGACATTTTTAGTGACAAGGAAGGAATTAAAAAAAAAAGAAAGAGAAAAAGATAGGAAGGAAAGAGTGAATTAAGACTAGATTGAGGGAAGAAAGAAAGGAAGGGTTAAAGAAAAAAAATTATTAATGACACTTGTTAAAGATGATAAGGCAGCCTTTATTCACAGGGACCATCATGATAGATGTAGGGACACTGAAATGAGGTTTATGCAATAGGGGAGAGAGAATGGGCTCAACTCTGAATACAACAAGGAAAAGAGGGAATTTATCACTAAGAATCTGGGGTGTGGTAGGGATATGCGGTGAATAGAAAATTAGTTAAGTGGAAATATCAGGTATTAGAGGGGACTCTGTCTAAATAGATCCAACAGGACTCTTGCCAAAGGCAGGCCAAGGTGATCAGATATCATCTGGGGATGGTGGAAGATAAGGAACCTGATCAAATGTCAAGGGTGATCAGACGTTCAGTGAGGAATTCTGGCTAAACTCACTTAGTAGGATTCTTGCTAAAACTGGACAATACAGAGGGGCCAAAATTTGAGGCCCTGTTACTGAAGAGCTCAGAAGAACCTGATCAGAATTTGGTCAAGCCTTGAATCCTTATCACAAGAAAAAAGAAGGAAGATATATGGAATCATGAAGAAAGGTGTGTAAACTCTCTAGAAGCAATGAGCTGCTTTAAAAGAAAAAAAAGGGGGGCGACCCTGTGCATTCCTACAGTGCTTGCTAGAACATTTTGAAACGGTTTGAGGCCTTGCCCTGCTGCATCCAAAGCAAGGTTATAGAAATTTCAGACAGTCAAAAAAATAAAAAATAAAATAAAATAAATTTAAAAAGAGACCAAATTGAGCAATTTTTAAATTGAGAACATTTGTACTACCATGATTTTGTGATTTCTGTTTTGCTAGCAAAAATTCCCAGTGACCTTGCACCTGCAAAGTTGCATGCTGCAAAATATGTTCAGCATGTCATGCTGTGTGCACAAAAAAACAGGTTATGCATTTAAGTAATATTAAGGTTTAAAGATATCATTAATACTAGAGGCCCCATGCAAAAATACTAGAGGCCTGGCTGGCTATTTGGGGTGATCGGGGCTGTCTCCCCCAGTCCCAAATGGGGGCTGATGGGGGGCGGCCGGCCTGGGAGGGACTGTGGGAGGGCTCCAGGGCATGGCAGGCCCTCTCGCCTAGTCCCGATTGGCCAGACCCCAGGAGCAACCTAATCTACCGGTTGGAGCATCTGCCCCCTGGTGGTCAGTGCACATCATAGCGACTGGTTGAGCGGTCGACCAGATGGTGGACTTATTGGTCAGACACTTAACATATTATGCTTTTATTATATAGGACTAGAGGCCCGATGCACAAAATTCATGCAAGAGTAGGCCTTCCTTCCCCTGGCTGCCGGCACTGGCTTCCCTCTGGCACCTGGGACCCAGACTTTCCTCCAGCCACTGGCAGGCACCCAGGACCCCACCCGGGCTTCCCTTGCAGCCCCGGCTTCGTCCAGAAGGTCGTCTGGAAGGACGTCTGTCCAATTAGCATATTATGCTTTTATTATTATAGACTACTACAGGCCCGGTGTATGAAAATTCATGCACTGGAGGGGGGTCCCTCAGCCCAGCTTGCCCCCTCTCACAGTCCACGAGCCCTCAGGGGCGGGAGGCGACCCGGTGATCAGGGGATGGCAAGCCCCATCACACCACACCTCTGCTGATGCCACTGCCGCAGCGCAAGCCTCGGCCAGCCCTGGTGACAGCCTCAGGTGGCCCTGGGCGGCTGGGGGGCTGAGGGGACTGGGGTACTCCAGAGGCAGGCACCCCGGCAGGGCTGAGGGGACTGGGCGCCACCATCTTGTGGCTGTGGGTGCTGCCATCTTTGAGGGCAGGGCACTCAATTAGCATATTTCCTCCTTATTGACTGTGAGCACCGCCATCTTTGAGGGCATGGCAGTCAATTAGCATATTCCCTCCTTATTGGCTGTGGTGCCACCATCTTTGAGGGCGTGACAGTCAATTAGCATATCCCCTCCTTATTGGCTGTGGGCGCCCCCATCTTTGAGGGCAGGGCAAACAATTAGCATATTCCCTCCTTATTGGCTGTGGGCTCCGCCATTTTGTGACAGCGTGAGGGTCAATTAGCATATTCCCTTTTATTAGATAGGATAACTGTCTTGAAAGGCATAAAAGCTTGACTTAGAGTCCTGGGAGCTGGTAAAGTGCTGTGTGCATGTAATTTTATTTGACAGACTTTCTACCAGTCATTCCTATCTGCGTACTTGTAAAAAGTATTGAGAAAAAATCCAAAATTTCCTTTGGAGTTTCATTTCCAACCAGAATATAGCTTTATTTTTCTTAATATGATACATTTATCCCTAGTAGGACCCTCACTAAAGATACTTCCATGATCTTGAGAACTGTCTTTTATAATAACTCAGATACTTTGGGAGCTATTTTATTATTGATTCTCTGCCAAGTTTCTTGGAAGTATTAGCATATAGAAGCCCTGGCCTTAGGATTATAAATGGATTATGTGCTCTGTTGTTTGCACTTTTATTTAACTCACTCCACTAATAGGTCACTTCTTAAGCAAACAGTGCCAAACTCACTGTAGATATTGCTATCAAGTTTTGCCTTCCCAAAGCTCCTGGAACTGGCCTCTCTGGCTGGAATATTTATAGAATATTACAACATCCCTCTGGATTCTATTTTTTCCAGATCTTTAGTAACTAGTATAATTATTTTTTTGTATAGCAGGGGAATATTCATAACATGTGCAGAATATTTTAAATGCAGTACTATCCAATATGTTTTTGCATATATGTATTTCCTTTCTGCATTTGTTTTCAAGCATTCTTCCTTTCCATTACACCAAAATTGATATTTCTACCTGTGAAATATATAATGATCATATGGTACTGTGCTATTTTATTCATTGATTCCTAGTACAAGTGCTGTTAAGACCTAGAATTAAAAACAGTGAAAACTCTGCCTCGCTGGGGCACAGATGGAAATGCTTTTTTATTTTTTTATTTTAAGGAAATAGGAAGACACGGTTTGCTTTTTTGTTTGTATGACCATGCATAATATATAAAATTAGTAGGAAGTTTGCCTCTATTATAAATAGCCATATTCTGAGTCACTATCAGAATGGAAAGTGGGAGATTTTTGTTGCTAAGTCTGCCTTTAGTAAAACTAATGATATGATTAAACAGAATTATGCTCTTATAGATAGAGACTTATGTTGCCTTCTGGTCTAATGCATTTGTAAGTTTTCAGAGATTATTTTAAACCAATTTTCAGGCTGATGGTTTCTTTTTAATGTATTTTGTTATTGTTGTTGATAGTATTACAGATATCTCCCACCCCCCACTCCCCCCACTCCTCCCACTCCACTCAGCCCCTACCCACCCCCACCCCCGGGCTTCACTACCATATTTCCCATGTCTATGGGTTATGTATATAAGTATATAAGTTCTTTGGTTTTATCTCTTCTCACCCCCCCACCCCCACATCTGAGGTATGTCAGGCTGATGGTTTTTTAAATGCAACTGTTAAGGAGGAGAATATGTAAAGTACATACATTGTACCCGTTTTACTTCATGCTTTACTTATTCTTCCTTGAAATAGCTTAAATAGAGTGTGTGTGTACATAGTGTGTGTATTTAGTACAGTAATATATATTTATAGTGTATACATATAGTATATAGTATAGAATATATACAGTATATATTATATATGGTGTACTATATAGTATGTTATATAGTGTATACATATAGTATATAGTAATAATACACACACAAATACGTTGAGGAGGAGAGAAATATTTGAAGGTGTAATGCACATGGGTAGGTGTCATGAGTTGAACTGTATCCCCCACAAAAAAATCATATGTTGAGATCCTAATCCCTAGTACCTCCAAATGTAGCCTTCTTTAGAGATCATTATTTAGAGGTCATTAGAATAGTCTTTGTTGTTCATGGACCCAATTCCAACAGAGGTGGGGTGGGGTCGTTCTTCCCACACACAATCAGGGTGTCCTACAATTCAATGCAATTCTGACACTGTCTATCCAGAGACTACAAAAACCAGTCAGAAGTTCACGTCACCTGTGCTCTGACTGACGGACAATAGAGGGGTTCCCATGACCCTCTCCTTGGACTTCACATGCTAGTTACAAGTCCAGGTTGTTACCTGTACTTCTGATCAATAGGCTTTAAACCAGAGGTTCCCATTACTCCCTTCTTCCTTGGGTTCAATTAATTTGCTAGAACAGCTCACATAACTTAGGGAAACATTTTGCTCATTATATCACTGGTTTATTATAAAAGTGTGTAACTCTGGAACAACTAGATGGAACAAATTCATAGAGGAAGGCATGGGAAAAGGATACAGAGCTTTTATGCCCTCTCTGGGTGCACCACTCTCCTCAAATCTACATACGTTCATCAATCCAGAAGCTCTCTTACCCTGTCCTTTGGGGCTTTATGGAAGCTTTATCACATAGCCGTAATTTATTAAATCCATGGCCATTGGAGATTGGAGTTGATCTCTAGTTCCTCTCCCCTTCCCAGAGATTGAACGTGGGTGAGACTGAACGTTTCAACCCTCTAATCCTGTGGTTGGCTCCACAGGTAACCAGCCCCCAACCTTACATGAACTTCAAAAGCACTTGATTAATACAATGAAAGACCATTGTTGCTCTCATCACTTAGGGAACACCAGGGTTCTAGGAGCTCTGTGCTAGAAATGGGATGAAGACAGACTATACATCTCTTCTTGTAACTCACAATATCATAGGAGCCTTAAACCCAGTATAACTAGTGTCCTTATAAGAACAGGAAATTTGGGCACAGACATGAATAGAGAGATGATGATGTGAAAAGAAAGGCATAGGGAGAAGATCACCGTTTATAAGCCAAAGAGAAAGGTCTGGAACAGATTCTTCCCTTACAACCCTCAGGAGGAACCAACTCTGATGACACCTTGATTTTGGAATTCTAAACTCCAGAACTGTGATACAACAAATTTCTATTGTTTAAGCCACCCACTCTGTGGTCTGTGTTACAGTAACCTTAGGAAAGAAACAAATATAGTATCATCTGGAAATAATGTCACAAACTTTTCACAAATTCTAGGACATTGCAATTCAATAATAGGTAATTATGAATACATCATAAGATTATTGCTATTGAACAATCTTAGAAAATCATTTTCTGAAATTTTTACTATCATCTGAAAGCATGTATTTTAGCATACTGGTAGTTAAAACACAGGCAACCAAATGAAACATAACATTAAACATAAAATTCTAATAGTTTTGCAAGACATAGGTGAAAATAATTTTATATTTTACATAATTCACCATATATTGTTCAAATTTAGATGGGGGAAGACGGAACTTAGGCTACACCCTATAAGTTAGGCATGCCATTACCAAAGAACTTTTTGGACAGGCAGGACAGCAGTGTAATTCCATCTGTTACCACTCCCAGGTTGTTGAGTGCTTAGTGAACTTGGGCAGTGACCTGCTGTTCAGACTGAAAGAAGGCCCTGAGTTTCTGCTTTTCTCTATTTGTTTTTAATTCAAACAATAAGGAATGTTTTATCCAGGTATGTAGAGAGAACGATTTACGTTTTTATAGACTCGTGTGTTGTTCACCGTAAGAACTGTTGAATAGTTAAAACATTATTATCAATATTGTGTTAATATGATTATGGTCTAAATCATACTATTTGATAGAACTTTCTGCAGTGATAGAAATAATCTACATCTGTGATCTCCTGTATGATGGCCACTAAACA